CAGTAAAACTCAGTATAAGAGAAGTCCGAGTCCGATGTCAGAATAGGAAACAAAAGAAAATAAACAAAATGACAATAATACATAAATAACAACAGACTACTAGGAGTTACTGACATGTCAGCTCCAGACCTCAATTAAACTGATTGAAAGATTATGTCTTCATCATATGAATATCAGGTACAATCCCGACTGTTAGGGGTTTAGTATTATACCGTCATAAAATATATGAGAAGAACATAACCCGTGTCATGCCAACAACTGGTTTTAGAATAAATGTGTTAATTCCGATGCAAAGACCCTATAAGTGAATCAATATTAAAGCCAAAATAAGCAATCGTTAATGACCTGACAACAGTATCGTAACTATATATATGTCGGGGATAAGAAAATATTAGTATTTAGAATAATTCATACTTTTGCAAACAGTAAATTTAGAAAAATGACTATATAATAGATATACATGATAACACCGAAGTGGTGACTAACTACAGAATAAAAACGGATACAGAAAAAAATAAGATTTACAACTACAAACGATAAGACATTTACAAAATCCGATGAGAATAACAAATATAACATCAAAACTAAATACATGAATTTTGGATAGAAAAGTACCGTGACACGTCTTTTGAATACAACCAAATTTGAATTTTTGATTTATCATCAAATAAGATTAATTTTACCTCAATTTTTTTTAAATTGTTTAGGATTTATTTGCTCATGAGCAATACATCATGAGTAAACACATCAACTACCGTACCATTTGCGGCTTCTTCGGGGGGAAAAGTCTCTTGACCTTCGTCACGCCTTACTGAAGCTCTTCATAACCTTTACAACAAAACCCAGTCAGGCATAAGTACAAGACAACGCAGCCCGAGGACAACTTGGGTCGTCTATAATAAAACCCAAATGGTTGAACCTTCGTATTTTCTTTATCATTAATCTGTTATCGTCGGTATCATGCATGTATGTTTTTCTCTCCACTGGCCATTGAGCAAACATCAATAAAAAATAATAATACAAACAATTACAATTCAAAAAATATGAGCAGTGGGATCTTAATAATTATCAATAATTTATAATTGAATTGAGTCATGTCATTTCAAAATACTCAATATAGTTTTTTGACAATTTCATTTACTTTTTATTTTCTCTATTATAATCGCATGGATTTTCATCTACAAAACTAAGATAAATGGTACCAATTTGTTTGCACCAGATGCGCATTTTGACAATAAATGTCTCTTCAGTGATGCTTGCTTCCAAAACATTTGAAAATCCAAAAATTATTAAAACATGAAGAGCTTAGAAACTTTTAAAGACAAAATGTATAACCAAAGTCGAGCAAGGAATGAGAGCTTTACCTGAGGGAGATATACTCCTGAAATTAAAATAATTTCATAAATTTTGTAACTGCACATTTTAATAACACAATATCCATATTTTCTTGCCAGTATCCAAGTACTTACAATGATAGTACAACAGACATTTGCGTGTCAGGCATTGAAACTTGACAGTTCAAACTGTGATGAAATCTTATTTTTCACAGTTTATTTTTCATTAAATCTAGGTGACAAGAAGAGCAAACATTGTAGACATATTTAATGAAAAAAGTAAAATTATCGCGATATTTGACTTCTTTTTTGTTCTGTTAACCGTACAAGGACAGTGCCAGTAAGTCAGCCATCAAAATATGTAATTTTAGATTTCTTAAAATCTCACATGCTTTCACGTATTATGAAAATGAAGCTTACAATCTTGTACGTCCGACGAGCTTTTAATTTTTTTTAAACTATTTTCCGTCACTAGGAACCATTAAACATACAAACTGAATGTCTCAATCAATCAACGGAAAATGAAAAAAACGATATGTTATAAATCACTGAACTAATTATACTGTCGTATAATAGCAGACTGCAATCAGCGGTATAGAGCGTAGGCTACAAACGTTATCGCTAAACGGCATGAGAGTTAGTTGTACAAATTTCGTATTTTTGTTTGCGTGAAAATATTCGAAAATTAGAATTAAAAATATAATATAATAAATATAATATAGATATGAATTTACCTGAGCAACATTACGGGTGCAATATGTGAAGCATGGCATGCCTACCCTTCCTGAGATCACTCCCATTTTTTTAAAGGATTCATGTTGCTCAGTCTTTAGTTTTCTATGTTGTGTTTTGTGTACTGTTGTTTGTCTTTTCGTCGTTTTCGTTATTTGACATGTAATTGTCAGTTTATTTTCGAATTATGAGTTTGAATATTCCTTTGGTATCTCCGCAAAAAAGGAAATCCCATTATATCTACCAGAATGGCAGGTGAATATCCATCAATTAATTATTTTGTAGCTATTCACATTAAAAGGAGATTTTTTGTAGAAATGTAGCTTTTGGAAATCTTATGTTGCATTCTATATTAAAAAAAAATTAATTGTGAACGATTACATGAACAGCAATACCAGATTTACAAACAGGCCAATATGATTGAAACCATTGATGACCTTTATCATGTTTATAGTACACTCATCATAGAAACCAGGATTAAAGTTTTGCACGACAGACGCAAGTTGTTTGTGTCTACAAAAGACTCATCAATTATGCACGTATCAAAAAGTAAAAAAGCCATATAAAGTATCTATCAAAAATACCGAACTCCAAGGCAAATTCAAAAATGAGAAGTCCATGAAACTGGCAAAATCAAACGCTATCAATCAAAGGAATAAGCGAAAAACAACTGGCATATTCCTGACTTAAAACAGGCATTTTCCGAAGAAATTGGTGGGTTAAACCTGGTTTTATAGCTGGCTAAATTTCCCATTTGGATGACAGTTGTTTAAAGTTCCGTTATATTGACAAAAGTGGGTATGAAACCAAAACAGACATAATAGGTTAATATGACAATAATTGGGATGCAGCAGCCAAGTGGTGTCACGGAATAGAAGTCCTTCATAATCTAAGTTCCAAATGGAAACAATATTCTGGAATATTATTTCCACTGGAATAAATATTACAGTAAATGTTCCTAACGGAATAAATGGTATAGAATATGTGTTCCAACAGGAACAGATATTATGACATTGTTTGATGATGTGTGAACGTATGATTTACATGATCCGATGAGTTCCAGAAAAAAACATTAACAATATAAAAGTATATCTAGCAAAATAAGATAGTAGGGAAATTATAATGTTCACAATCACTGTTTATATCAACTTAACATGCTTAATACATGGGTAAACAAATTTAACGAAGCACCATATACTTACCTTACGTTTGAAATACTCAGACGTCGTGTAATGCACAGTTATACTATGATTTGTGTATAGTGACACATTATACTCATACCTTAATTTATGTGACGTCAAATAGATATCAGACGGAAAATACACTGCTTCACATCATTTCTTTACTTATTTATTCAGTAATTTTCCGTAACTGAATTGAGACAAGAAAGTAATTCCGATAATACCGTGTCTGTAACAGTGCTTTGTTTTATCTTAAACTGACATATCAAATGTCTCAACATCCTTCGGAACATTATGAATGTTCCAGTGACAAACTAACGACAAGTACGTTTTATTTAGTAAAATATAGGTAAACTACTGCCGCCGTAACATATTTTAGTCATAAATTTGTGATTGCCACATATTTGGACCCTTTTCTTGACATAGACACAGATTAACGAATTGAAACTAAGACCAATGATAAACATGAAACTCTCAATTTTCGGTTTTTCCTTCGTGAAATGTTTTTTAAAATTCGTATGACGAGTCAAACATGTATAACAGGAGGCACGTATCTTGTCGAAGGATCCGGCCTAGGTTCGTTTGTTGTTTTTGTCTCTGAAACATTTGTTGGGGGTTGTCAGTTTGACTGTGCGAAATTTTTAAATACACAGTTACGCTCCTTTGACTATGAGTGATGTATAAATACACATTCACATTCGGGTCAACTTGAAACTTTTAATTTAATGTTCATGTTGGGATATCAAATGAACATACAAAAAGAGGCAGAAGATTAGTTACATAGTTACAAAAGGGATATTGAAAGCTCAAAGAAAATCTGGCAACGCAATGGCAAAAAAACACGAAGAAAAAACAACAATATACAAAACACTACATAAAAAACTCGCATAAAGTGTTGTCATTTAGTTTTTAGTATTATTTATTTATAAGATATGTGGCACTGTCTCAGTGGAATCCGTTATTTCTCAATCGATAGGATAGATACGTTCCACAAAGTCACAAAACTTTGAAATAATAAGTGATAAGATATCTTTTACACTGCTGAACGTAAAGTCATGGATTATCCTAGCTTCTTTCATTCATTCAAGAAGCTCTTGAATGAAGTGTTCCTTATATAATTTAAAAAAGTAAAAAAAACAAGTCGACAAAAGAGGAACATAAGTTTTGAAATTACCCATGCGCTTCCGTTCTGCTGTTTGACATGCACAAATATGCTGCAAATTATGTCGGAATGGGGACTTTAAATTTGATGTTAGTGTTAAATCATTCTAATTTTATTACATGATCTTGTTTCCTTCAATATCCATTTGCAGAGCATACCTATTAGCAATCATTCATTCCAGAACGACTAAAACTCCCTTTTCAATCATTATATGAATTGCTACAGTCACAAATATGCATAAAATATCCTCTTAATTTTTTAGGAACACGCAAATTTTGATCAAGCTTATATTATCAAATAAGCTCCTCCTCACCAATAATGAACTAGTCCATTGACAAGATTTAGAGCTTATTCAAGTAAAACGACTTCAATATTATTTTTTAAAAGTCTCGTATGTTCATTATTTAGAAATGACACTGAATTCGATAATCATGACATACTCTTTATATGGCCTACTATGGTTAAATCCTTTTAATTAATGCTTATTATGTTAAAAATTATCCAGCAATGAAAGGAATTTCAATACATTTATTGAAATGCAAACAACTAAATGAACTAATGATCAGTGTCAAGGCGAGTCAACTATTTAAATAAAAAGCCAATCTTGTCTGTAAACGATAGTGTCTTCTTAGTAGCTAATAAAGTGAGAGAATAACCACAAATTGATAATGGAGAAGATTTACATTTCTAAATTGATGAGTAATCTAATATATATAAAGGATAATATAACGTTACCACAGCTGAGCAGGACAATAGATATAATGATTGAGAAAGGACATATTTATATGGATGAGAAAGACAGCATCATGTCAAAGAAATCTGTGGATGAGTGTTGTGATTGGTTCATTCGCATTATTTGTAAGCGTGGAGGATCCTCTTTTGCAGATTTGCTACATGCTTTTAGAATTACTGGAAATAGTCATGTAGCGAATATGTTGAAAGGCACTGCAATTGAACTATCGATATCACCGATAACGTCAGGTATTGTATTTGTATATACGTTTTTATTATTTCTCTATATTGTTGTAATTTGCTGCATGCTTTATGTATTACTGGGTAGTCATATAGCGAATATGTTGAAAGGCACTACAATCGAACTATCGATATCAACGATAACGTCAGGTATGGTATTTGTATCCAACTTTTATTATTTTTTATTTATTGTTGTAATTTGCAACATGCTTTTAAAATTACTGGAAATAGTCGTGTAGTAAAAATGTTGAAACCCCCAAAGGTGACTGGGGAATAGAAATATGGTCACTGTTGGTCTTTTTCGGACCGGCAGTAAAACTTTTGCCTAAGTTGGACGTCCGTTAAGCCGTGCGGAATGTGCAAGTACGCGGCTACGTCTGGTCAGAAAGGGGTCGTTGAATTCGGTGCCTCCTGTAAAGAGAATGCCACGCTCTCTGCACGTTAAGAATCCTCGCAGAGGTCTGTAGGTGGCCTATTGCACGGCAAAATGTATGTCCCTATCCAATATACCCTCATTTTCCATTGGCAGTCCAAATTGTGCCGACCTTTATTCCGGACGGCCTCTATTACAGGACCTACTTATTGTAGTTATTGTTAATTCGTTCTCGTCCTGAATATGATATTTTTGCAACTGAACTTTATGCAACCAACAATCAATCAATCAATGTATTGACAGGCACTTCATTAGAATTATCGGTATCACCGATAACGTCAGCTTTTTTTTATACACCTTCTATTCTGTTATTTATGGTTGTAATTTATTTGACGTGAACCAAAGGAAGAAAACAATACCACTTAAAAATTGATTTGCAAATAGTTGAACATTTTTGAAGCTATTATGCAAGAATTACAATAACCTTTAACTTAACATTTAATTATATCTTTTGTGATCCTAAGAACTAAGACGATTTCTTTATATCAATTAGGGTATCAACGAGCCCAAAAGACAACAGAAAGAAATATTGACGAATCCTCTGATCATAATGTGAAGGTAAGTACCGATAGCTATATGATTTTAACATCATTTTTATAAAATATGATTATCGAAAAAAGAATTCTGGTGTTTCAGAAAGTTCGTAACTGCAAGTGAACATAGTTAAAATAAACTTGTATACTCTATGTTTCTTCTTGATTTTTTATCAATGTGTTGTTGTCTCAATGTGTTAGACATCAAATCTCTTTTTATCGATATTCATAGAAATTGTCTTCTATTACGAAGTGAGTATGTTCATAAAAACACAATTCATAGAGCCTTTTTATTATTGCCTATGTAGCCACTAAGTAAAATCCATATGCATAACAAGGACTTTATATATAGTGTAACATTGTATTTTAGTAACGTATCTTTCTTTGTGTTCCATATTTTTTTTTTTTTACATTTAATACATGTCATACATACAGTACAGTGTTTTGAGGTATAACCGTTTTGCCATGACGAATTTGTTATAATCTATTGTGTAACATATGTAACATTATTAGGAATTTACAAAAAGGAGACCGTATATTAAATGATATCCTCGCAGATCCTTGTTGTACAAGGATGACTTTACATTGTCATATTATTCAGTCCTTATTGTTGATTCAAACCCAAAGTTTGTCTGGTATACAACATCTTTACAAAAAGATCATTCCGTGATCATCTTCCGACCGGCAGTAAAACTCTTGTCAACCATGTGCGTCCGGTTGGCCGTGCGATGTATAAATACGCAATCAAGTCCAGTCATAATGTGGCCGTTAAATCTATTCCGTGAAGAGAGGGTGTCATGCTTTCTGTACGTTAAAAACCGTTGTAAAATCATTGAGGTTGACTGCTGCAAGGCAACATTTCTGTCCCTATCGAATATACCCTCATGTCTAGTGGCAGTCGAATTTTCCGCCTAACATCCCTGTCGACAAACTATTGAACTACCTACCTATTCTATGTATTTTTCATCAACATGCATGAAATATTTGCCACTAAACGTTAAACAAACAGCACTCACATAAATAAATGAATCAACCAAAGGTCCATCTATCTATTTCGGTTGAGTTTGTCTAAGTAATCAAGCTCATGATAATTGTCCGGACAAAACATTTATTTTTATCAAATATCCAAAATCTGCAGACGTCATTGATTATTCTATAGATTTTGTTTCACAATATAGGATTTTGAATTATAACTAATTACAATTTTGTTAATCTTTATTACAATTAGTTGAAAATGAGAAGCGACCAAACTGAAAACCAAAGTGAGTGTAGTGCAGGAACTGTTTCTCTGGATTCAAAAGACAGTACCGTTGGGCGTTACCGGTCATTACGTAACGAGGAAGCAGTAGATAATGGGAAGGAAAGTTTGGCGAAATGTCTGCTTCTTGAGAAGGAACTAGTACAACACAAGGAGGAGTTGGAAAAACTTCAACGAGTTGAAGACATGAATTTTTACTTAGAAAATCAAGTGGACAATTTGGAGGATGACATAAAAAAGCTAAAGCAGACCATTGTAGATAAAGAGAAAGAAATTATGAGACTCAAGAACAAATTGGGTAAAATACAAACGCATCAAGAGGTTATCCGAAAGGAAGGTGTCGAAACACGACAGAAGCTGGACGGTGTTGAAAAGCACCTTAACCAAAAGTTAGACGGTGTGGACGAGCGATTAGTTGGTTTTGACAAACAAATTACTTCCAAATTTGACAATGTTGATAAGCAGCTGAAACTAATGATGGAAGAGTTTCGAAAAGTTCGCGTTACGTCGAATAAAACTTATGCAAAAAATAAAAACAAAGTTAAAACAAAGGAGATTATTATTGAAAAATAATGCATTGGCACATTGGAGTAGAACATGTATTTTTAATAGTATATAAATCGGAATTTGTTCTACATGTAAATAAGTGTATCACAATTTCATGCTTTTATTTATACACCGTGTGAGACGTTGTGAAACGCAAATTAAATGTGCCCATTTATGTCATGTAATTGTGTACAATGAATCATATTTAATCATCCAATTTAAGTGTCGTGACTGTATATTTAAATTGCGTTTAAAATACAGAGGAGTGTATTAAGTATTCAATCATATTTAAAAGTTTGTACATTTTAATAAAGATATTCATGTTATTATCAATTTATAATAAATATATTGAAGTGAAACTGGTTATTTTCTGATCATTTCCTGGTATATAATTCATACAAGATAAGTATTGAACAAAATGAATACAAGGTTGTTTTGAAATTCATCTCTTTATTACGAATTAATATCAAAGTACCAATCAAAAAGTTTAAATAACTTAAACGAATTCATGAGACGCCATGTAATGAAATAGCTATTCTATGTCATTTTTAAAAAGATTAATAAATAGACTGAAAAAAACTTCCACTTAATACGTTCTTGGTATTTCTACTTAAACATACAACCAGTTCATATTAGTTTTTAGATTGTTGGTACATTGTGGTACAAATGTATGTGGTTAATATAATCAGAAGACTTTTTTGAAAAACATAAATGTATTTTTCGTCACACGACTTATGTTTTATGTTGCGACTGTCTCTAAGATCTTTTCATTCAATTATCTTAAACGGTGTCGTTTCTACCTAGTTTAAATTGATGAATGAAAAATCTCTGACTTTGGGATAAATTTTTCAGTGTTAATCAGCAGCTCTTTAATGGCAAAGTCTGAAACACACTCACAACTATCTTTGTTCTGCAAAGTGACGGGAACAAATCCCCTGTCTGTTGTTCCAATCAGTAAGATCAAATTCAAAGTTTTGAAATCCAACCGGAGTCTGTAGACCTCAAAAATCACCGACAACACACTGAATGTTACGCTACCATGAAAACACGGCGAATGCCACACTCGGGGCAGTTTTTGTTCTTCCTTCCGGACCACATATAAACAACCCCTGTTTTTACCATGCTTCTACTTGTCTCTCTTCGATTAATGCGTTTTGATTCTACCTTTTGAAATTTCCGTCTAATTCATGTTATAATCATATAAGGCATTTTGATACAAACTGCAAATGTTACATGATTTTGTCAACTTTATGAAAAGTTGCATCAAAGAATTTCTTCAACAAAAATGATTAACTATGCATCCAGAAAAAATCAGTTGAAGTTTTAATTCTTTACCTTAAAGGATATCAAACAGTGAATGCATCCTAAAACAAAACAGTCTTTCTTAAGATCAGACAGTAAAATTTCTTGATTTTTTACTGGATGTTTTAAAATTGCGAAGCTTTCGGAACATATTGTGCCAGATCAACATTGAGTAATATCCCAACCTCTGAACTACAAGTGAATGTCTTGGAATGATTTATTTGTTTTGTTTTTTTGTTCTCTTTTTCTCGTTTTCCCGATGGTATTGCCAACTCAGCAGTTAGAACCTTTGTGTTGTCATGAAATAACAATGATACGATCAATTTCTGGAAATTTTATGTCGCCAAATTTTGAGATCATCGAAACATAAAGGTACCTACCCACAAACTTTGGCAGGGTCAAACTTGTTTGCTGGCTCTCAACTTTTATCTTTATATGGGACACTGACTTAACAGCACAACATAAGAACAAGCCTTTAAGAATACGCTTAATCAGGAACCCATAGATTGTATAAATTAAGTTCTACTTTACGCATTTTATCAATTACACCACCGTTAAATACTATGCTTTTAATTCTGAAGTAGACATTCTAAACGTGTAATAAAAAAACCCACAGAAACTCAGGGAAAATTGCGGCCGTGTGTTTTGTGTCTACCATTGTAAAATCTAATGTGTTTGTGCAACAGTTTTTTTACAAACAATTTGTATTTTTCTTAGATACTAGTATGGAAACTGAACAGTCAACACTTCGTCATCTTCGATTTGTCCATTTTAGTTCAATTGCGTTAAATTGTTTTCAGTTGATAACGATATTGACATGATTGATATAGTCATAATCATTATTTTTCAATATATGAATGATCTGACCTTACTTTCTTTACGGTGTACGGATATAATCTTTATCCTATTCAGAAAAAAACAATAGAAACATATAAATTAATTTCTTCTGCAAGGGCAGCATAAAAACAATTCAGATAGAATTGTTTCAATATTGCCGCTGTATCAAAAAGTAATTCTTTCAATTCTACTGAACTGAAAAATTATTCCGAATCGTCAAGACATTATCCTGGTTTGATATAATTCCAATATTTTTAGGACATCACAACCAATATACCTACCATGCGAGTTTTGATATCAAACGTAAAGCACAGTATTTGCAAAGTTTATCAAGTATTTCTAATTTCAATATCGTAAAAAGCCTATATCTTTGATGAATATGTTCACAACTTTGGAGATATACTTTACATATAAAGGCATTTATGCATATTTTCAACATTCGGAGGAATCATTGACGTTTATGTTAGTGATAATGCTGTAATAACATTGACGTTAATGTCCGTAAAATGATCAGTATGTATCCTAGTTCTTGCATTACATTCCGTATGCATATTGGAGCGTTTGTAAAATATGTTCTTCTCATGTTAGGCCTGTGGTCTATATGATAAACAGATTCTGGTTAAATGCTGGATTTCGGATAATCTTCTTCATCGCTTACAAACATTGTGAATATGTAGTATCCTTTCTTGCATATATACGAATTGAAATTAGTGAACAACAACAGCGACGATATGATATGTATCATACAGTTTTGCCGATCAAACTAGAGATTAAAAGAAAAACTCATGATCTTGTAAGATTTTTTTAAAAGATTTTCTGCCATGTCACTTTTAATCTATTTGAAAAAGTTGGATCAGTCTTACACACTTTGATTTTGTATTTTTAAAATAATTATGTAAACATTTTTACTAACACCTGTTAAATTTTTGGGAATGTCAAAAGCAAGGAGATTTCAAGCATTTAGCCTCGACTAAGAAAATAATCATAGCTATGAAGGAAAGGAATTTCTATCACTAATACCTTTATCTGAATTGTATGTTACGAGTTATCTTTGTAAAGAATTGTTTTAACGAAACTTATTCATTGTGATTTGATTGTATTGGAATGAGGCTGATTTGTTTAATTTAACCGGCTTTTGCTTACGGCAAACAAAAAGAAAATACGACTAGCTACAAAAAAGTAATAATTCTTTTAAAAAAATGTGTGGGTAAATAGAATCAAATAGAGATAAGACACATCTGACAACTGCGAGTTTTAGAAAATATATAAAGAGTTACAAGATAATACAAAAAAAAAACTACGAATAAGCTGTGAGACACATATGTATAAAATAAAACATCGAATTCTCCAGACGAAATATAAAAAGCATACCGAAATTTACTGGAATTCATCCAATGGTATATTGTTTCTAATTTGTTTTAAAAAACATTTTGTCTGAAATTTGAAGATGTCCAAATAACTTTTTATAATAAAAAAAAATCACAATGACTTGTTAAATATGAATTTTTATTTTCGCTTGATCATCATAGTTGTTTCCTTGTAGGAGTATTCAAATCTATGCCAAGCGTACAAGAACATCCCTGTAAGATTTTCTGCATTTCCACTGAGGTATTGCCCGTTAAAGTTGGAATATCCACATGTGCTGTACCACCATGCTCCATTATGAATCGCTGGACAATTATGTCCTTGGTTGTCACGGTCAAATGTGCTGTATGGCATTCCATTGGCATAGAACAAGGTGTCGCCTATAAAGAAAATTACAGATGATTGATAATAGGGTCTAAAAGGAAATTTTGATTTTAATCTACAGGTATTTACATGACAAAAAAACAAATGGTCGTGGTTAGTAAAAAATCATGCAGACTTTGATAAGATAAAATTTTATAGTCAGCTTGCGTATAAAATGGAATTTGCCCTATTATGATAATTCAGTCTGAATGATAAATGGATATAACATACAGATTGTCCTACGTTCGATGCTCATTTTCTTTTGATTCAAACGATTGGAAAGATGTATGTTAGTGTAAGTTACCGTTATGTTTGGAATCTATAAATGCAGCAAAACTGTGTTCCATTAAACATAGACTCAAGTATACGATGGTAATTACCTATTGTATGTACTAAGTATGACCATTCTGTATATTTTAGCCATCATATAAGAAATGTTAAGACCTTGAATTCTTAAAGGACCTAGCGTTGGAGTCGTAAATCATCCTCCTATTCTGTATTTCAGATTTGTCACGTACTATTCTGAAATAGTTTCAGTTGTTCTGATTTGTCCGATTTTATTAACTTCTCGAAATTTTTCTAAATCGCGCTCTGTTTTAAAACAGTCTTTGTCGTCATCTTTTTAATGACAGTTGTATTTTGAGATATTATGTCTGTACAAATAATGTTAACTGCACCTATTGTATTGCTGCAGATACGCATAACGACAATTAATGTTTCTTCAGTGAAACTCTAGGTCAAAATATGTGAAAGTATAAAACCTAACATACTCTCCTAAAAAGAAACGCAACAAACAATTTTCTTATTCATAAAATGAATTTTCATAAAAAATTGTGTAATGGAAACATAAAAACATGATCTTGTTGAAATTCAGATGTCAGTCGTTTTCACTTTGGCGCAAAACAAAAATGTTGGCATCAACTTGAAAGGGTGCAACAGAGCAAGGGCTATAAACCTGCAAAACTGAGTCTGGTAAAGCGATGAATCATGTGTCATGGTGCAGATAAGAGATGACCGTGCACGTGTCTACAAATTCCAGAATGAGAGGTTCGCATGGCACTGTATTCTTGGGGCCGAATATTTTGGAGGAGGAAGTGTGATGATGTTAGGTTTTATAGTTTACTCCCGAAAAAACTCAACTGGTGCACATCCCAGGCAACGTTGAAGCCGATCGATACAACGATGAGGTTTTGACATCAGGCATACTGCCTGTAAGAAATCTGTATAGTTTTTTAACAGGACAACGCTCGGCTGCACACAGCGCTTTGTGCTGTTGACTCTTTTGCCAACAAAAACGAAACAGTGCTCTACTAGCCTTTCAAAAAAACAAAATTTAAACCCAACAGAAAATTAGTGAGATGATTAGCGTAAACGCATGCGCAGTTGTCATGTAGTGCCGCAAGTTTTAGCTCGAGATAAAATAATCGAAAATAAATGCCAAACACTTGGTTAAATGAAAACAAATCTAAGGTTGCCATGAAATATTTCTTAATTAAAGGAATCTATTTTATTGCAGCAGATGCGCATTTCGATAATTAAATAATGCTTTGAAATACAGGTACATTGATTCTGTTGAAAAGTACTGAGGTACATCACTATTTCTTTTTCTAACGAGATGTTTATATTTGACTACATTATGGATTCAATGTTTTCCTAACTGATTTTCATTGATTTTATGTTATGTTCCTTTTCTCATCTCATTGATTGAGTGGGAAGGGAATTGAAAAAAAGCTTGTTTAGCTCAGACACAAGTTCAAGTGTCTATCCTAAGTGTGTTGTTGTCATTTTGAAGAAACAAACGTTGCTGGCAAGTCTTTGATAGTTTGCTAACTTTATTCACAACGTTAATAGAATCAT